AAGGCCAACTGCCAACATAAATATTTCATTAGAACCCCTAATTTTCATAATAGGCAGTGGTTGTTGGGGGAAAACTTGTGTCGAGGAACCAAACCAACCGCCGATCAAAGAAGGCAAAATCCAACCAAAACCAATGCACAAACTCAAAACACCAATTTTAACGTGGTTTGGTAATTACCTACGTCCACGGGGCAAGAAGAGGATGAGGTTTTTACTAATAGAGAAGAAGAGTACAAATTGAGATTACAAATCACTCGAAGGAACAAACTAATCTCACCACAAAGCTCTTAATCTTTCCAAATAAACCCTAAACAAATAGCTCTAAAAATACCTCTTTTCTGTGCTCCAAATATCCCAAACTCTAGCCTTAAGAAACCCTAGAATGTGTTTTGGTATTTATACAAACACCAAAACCCAATAAGAACAGGAAACACAAAACAAGCCCTGACCCGATTGGCGGTCGACCGCCCAAAGCTCGCGGTCGACCGCGAAATAGCGACAGAGATCAAATTCGCCTACAGGGTCTCGCGGTCGACCGCGACGGTCGACCGCACCAAATCCAGACTCCTACTCTGGCTTGTGCACGTTCGCGGTCGACCGTGCAGCTCCAAAACAGTTCTATGTGTCCCAAAAGCCTGTGCTTCTCCAAAATTCTTCGCGGTTTCTTCAAGTCTCCACCTCGGTGAAGTTTTTCCAAAACTGAGCCGACACCAACTAAACCAAATACCTCACTTGTTGCGTCCAGTACGAAGTGAAACGATTCACAACAACGGACTAAATCCACAACAAGTCGAGACCCAAACGAGAGTGAGAACACTCACCCAAACGTCGGTATCTACTCACTAAATCGGCTGCATCAAAACTGACTGCCTAGTATCCTCTTGCCCAAGAAATCAAGCATTCACGTAGTTCACCCAATGGCCTCCAAAGGCCCTCAATCCAATAGAAGAGCACGCAACCCTCCTTCATCATCATCAAATCTGTGACTGATAGCACCTCCAATGACCTCAAACTGAAACGATCCAAACACATCTGCCTGAGGTGAACCAATGGTCATGTCCAAACTACGCCTATCAGCTGCACTCAAAATAATCAACACGTCATCTGCATCTGAAACCGAATGACCCTCATGCTATGTCATCTTAGCTGAAGTCCCAAATAATATAGAATGACCTGGAGTATGTGGAGTAATATCCACCCAATGTGGAGTAGCATCACCCTTCACCCGCTGTAATATCCAACTGATCTGATCAACACTCTCCACCTGCTGAGAGTCTAATGTGACATACCTGCTCAGAACAAAATCAGAAGCTCCCAAATGATAGCCAAATGAGCCTCTGAATCCCAAACACGTAATCAGATCAAATTTCACATCCTCGATGTGACTAAGTGTTGGGTAACCAAATATCCGACGCCAACCAAAATTTGAAGTAGCTCCACCAGATCCAAAATCTCCAAACACAGCAGTCGGCAACCTATGCATAAGATGACCCAAACATGTCGAAGCCCGAATACTAAATCCAATGCTCGACAACCAACACCGATCATCATCCAGAAAGAAACAGCTCACCAAATCTGCCATCTCATATCGTCGCCTCAATATCTTCTCTCCAATGAAGTGTCTTCAACTGCCATGAGCTCGGTACAAATGCAAGAAAGGACCCCTATCAAAGCTAGAACTACGGGTTACCTTTCTGTCAATACACTTCTTCTAATTGTTGCAGACTACTAGGACTTCAAACCAGCGGGGCTTGGTTGCAACCCATAATTTCCTAGTACAATCCCCAACTACATCAACCAAAAAAAAAAACGATTACCTCCCAATGACGCCTCCTTGAAAGGCCCCCAAATGCCTGACTGAACACCTCCTAAAAGACCTCTCGATCGATGGATAAAAGTGTCAAGCTCCACCACAGTCTTCTCGCTCATCCCAATGTGCTCAAAGGACTTCCATTTGCAGGTCAACGCACTCCTCAACAACCTATGTACGGCATCACCAATCAAATATCCCAGCGTCAAACAACACCATAGTCTAGCCAAATCCAATGAAGTTGTCAGCGCTCTATCAATCACTGTGCTCCTAAGCAAATAGTACAAATTATTTCTTCTGACACCCTTCATCACAATCATGGACCCAAATGTAACCTTTAAACGTGCATCCGTCAAGGTCACCCTATAGCCTGCTGCCTCCAAAACTCCAAGTGAAATAATGTTTTTCTTCAATTGAGGAACGAACCTTACTTCAACCAACTCCCGAATTACCCCGTCACTCATCTGAATACGAACGATACCGATACCACCAATAGAGCATTTGTGATCATTACCCATGAGCATAACATCCCCTCTTTCTAACTCCTGAAAGCTGGAGAACCAATCCCTCCTAGGGCAAATATGATATGAGGCACCCGAATCCAATATCCACTCAGTGGAGTCAGCAACACAAACTGACGGAAGTGCTGGGCACGAATAGCCCGAAGAATCTGAATCTGAAATATCACCACTAGCCTTGGCAACATTCACCTCTGAAGCTTCAATTGCTTTCCTCTTATTCTTCCCAGCTCGATCATTTAATTTTGGGCATTCGGCTTTCTAATGTCTATCTTCTTTACAAAAAGCACACCGATTCCTACGAATTCCAAAATGTGCCCCTCTAGACTGTGACCTTCTACCTCGGTTTGGACTCTTTCTCTTGCAACCAATGCCCCCGCTACCGGCTCAATAGAAGTCTTCTTATCCTTTTTCCTAAGTTGGTAATTCACATGTACATCGGCGATCTTACTATATGAAAGAGATGCCTTCCCATTAATAAGAGTAAGGACGAAGGTCTCATATTCCTCGTCGGGCAAGGAACTCAACAATAACAACGCCTTATCCTCATCTTCAATAATAACATCTATATTCGTCAAATCTGCAAGAAGCTTCGTGTAGTGGTTCATGTGGTCACCAATGGATGTCCCCTTCTTCAATTGGAAGCGATAAAACCTCTTCTTCAAATGCAAGCGATTTTCGATGCTCTTCGTCAAGTACTTGCTCTCTAGGACTTCCCAAATATTCTTAGGCGAAGTCTCATTCATCACATCATATTTTAGATCTTGAGTGAGGCAAGACCTAATCACACCACACGCTATTCTATTCATTTTCTTCCAAACCTTCTCATCAATGTTGTCCGGTTTCTCGTCCAACTCCAACGTATCTTCCAAATTCTGCGCATTGAGCGCATCCAAGACTTTGTATCGCCAAAGTACAAAATTTTTAGTGCCATTGAACTTCTCCACGTCAATCTTTATTGAGTGGATATTCAAACTTTGGACAGTCTTCACACCTGAAGAACCACCCTCAACACCTTCTTTCTCGGCCATAATCCTCAACACACAAACAACTAATGTGGAAACAAACGAAGAATAGATCCAACTCTGAGAAAAGAAAGAAACTTTACCAAAAAAATCCCACCTTTCTTACCAACTGAAACGCTAGACGAGCTTCCCAAATCGATCTACTCCTCCAAATAGCCCAAGCGTAGCCCGTGCTCTGGTACCAATTGTTGGGGGAAAACCCGTGTCGATGAACCAAACCAACCGCCGATCAAAGAAGGTAAAATCCAACCAAAATCAATGCACAAACTCAAAACATCAATTTTAACGTGGTTCAGCAATTGCCTACGTCCACGGGACAAGAATGAGATGAGGTTTTCACTAATAGAGAAGAAAAGTACAAATTGAGATGACAAATCACTCGAAGGAACAAACTAATCTCACCACAAAGCTCTTAATCTCTCCAAATAAACCCTAAACAAATAGCTCAAAAAATACCTCTTTTCTGTGCTCCAAATATCCCAAACTCTAGCAATAAGAAACCCTAGAACGTGTATTGGTATTTATACAAATATCAAAACCCAATAAGAACAGGAAACACAAAACATGCCCTGACCCGATTGGCGGTCGGCCGCCCAAATCTCGCGGTCGACCGCCGCCCAAAGATCGCGGTCGACCGCGATCCAGCGACAGAGACCAAATTCGCCTTCAGGGTCTCGCGGTTGACCGCGACGGTCGACTGCATCAAATCCAGACTCCTACTCTGGCTTGTGCACGTTCGCGGTCTACTGGCCTTGCGCCGCGGTCGACCGTGCAGCTCCAAAACAGTTCCCTGTGTCCCAAAAGCCTGTTCTTCTTCAAAATTCTTGGCGGTTTCTTCAGTGGTAAAAACAACCTTGTATCCCAGTCCAACCAGCGTTAATAATAACATGATAGCTGCTATTTGCACCATTTTTTTCACAAGTTAGAAAAAGGAGGAAAAAATGATAATATGAATCTAAAAAATTAGTGTCAGGTTAAGGGTTATCTGACAAATTGGAAGGATTATCTGACAAAACTTTTTGGTATTATGTGACGTTCTTAAACGTTCTCTGTTTATTTTGGAGTGGCCTAAACTTTGGGTGGTTATGTGAAATAATTTACCCATAAAATAACTTTAACTAGTAACTCTAGAATAGAAGTTATACACTTCAAACTTCCATATATATTGTGGCGCTAGAATCACTTTGCCAGAGCACTACTACTCTCTAGTAAGATCATTGTACCATCCTGCGTGCTTTCTAGGCTTGTATTGGCCCCACAGTAGTCCAATTGGTGACAACCAAGGGATCAACCTAAAGAAAAGGATTTTAATAAGTATGGTAACTTTCCGCAGACCACCACAGTACCTAACCAACAAGAGGTATGAGCCTGTTGTGTTGCTGTTTAAAAGCTGGTAGCAAACACTACAATGACTGAATATATATGGACCAATGAGTTAAGTCTTTTTTTTAGACGGAGATACGTATCACGGCGATCCATAATTGAAAGGCCTACAGCTTGCACCTCGATTGGAAAATTCTCCGGAGGTGAGATTAGGATTTGAGAGATAGATACGTATAAATATGTATCGTATCCAGAGGAGAGGAACGTAGAAATGGGGTGAGATTATGGGGTCGATTGTAGCCCTTCAACGCTTATTAGTAGAATCCTGAATTGTTGGTACTCCGATAATATTGATAATCTTTTTTGATCGTAATATGAAAAAACCGAAAGGATTGCTGAACGTTGTCCAATCTACGTACGTGTCTCTATGATTGGTTTCTTTGGTTTTTGTTTTCTTATCATTGATGTGTGCATGGTTAAGTTTTCCTTCGTGCTGCTAACAAGAAGGAGCACCGTCATTCCAGGCTTATGCGCAACCCATGCATGTTTCCTCACCATACTGCATTCTGCTCAATAATTGATCGGAACCACACGTTTTTTTTCTGCAGGCTGCTTACTTAGGCCCCGTTTGGTAAGGGGATAAATGAGGGGTTAAGGTGGTTTAGCCCTTCGTTATTCTGCCAAACACCAAAAAACGCCCACAGAATAACAAACCCGCACGTGATGATTTTATCCCGTTTATCAGCCTAACCTCTGGGATAACTAATACTCGTGGGAAGGCGGAACAAGGCTTGTCCCGTCTTCTCATGCGAGGGTAGCCACAGGAATTATGGAAAATTGGGATTTTGTGATAATAGGCGACGAAAATCGGCGAACAGAAATGGAAGGTAAGATCTTTGACAGAATCCCTCTCCTGCTTTCCCTCCCGATTTTCCCTCTAAATTTTCCCTCTATTTTTTCAACAGAGCGATCTTTCTCAACTATATAGCGCTATTTTTGGGGGAGCAATCAAGAAGAGAGAAATTATCAGTCGATTGGGAGCAATTGGCGACGGGAGGCAAAGGATCTGAGGTCTGTTATCTAAATAAATTCCTATTTCTTGATTTTCATATTCCAATTTTTTTGATTTTCATACTTTCTTCTTTCCTTTGTGAAAAATTGAATGATTGGGAGCAATCAGAGTAATTTTGTTCCCGTGATCTTGGTTTTCAACAAAGTTTTAATAGGACATAAATTTATCATGTTTACTGGCACTGGTTTATTTGAAGAAAATTTTCATGTATATGCCTATGTACTTCCAATTCTACTTTTAATTCTTAATCAGTCATGTTCATTCCTGAGCAAAATTCCAATTCTACTTACATGTATATGCCTATCTACTTCCAATTCTCAAATAAATGTACGAATGTAGATTGAATGCAAAATATAAGTCCTACTTTATGAGTTATAAAAATGATACATGTGTAAATACAAAAATGATATTGTCTTCATGAATTTTTCCACTATTTAAAGGTCCTGGTCAAGTATACTAGCATAGGTTTATTTGAATATTTTCCTGAACGAGTAATAAAGTTTGTAAACATGAACAACATAATAAAGTAGGTTGGTTGTTGAGATCAATAAGCATTGGTTAAAATTTAGTAGGAGGTCCTGTAAGTTTACATGCATTTTTTCCAGGATCATCAATAAAGTATCCTCAATTATCAAAGCATCCCTGTCAATTTAAGATGACTACATCAAAAGATTATACTTACGTATATGCAATTCTACTTTTAATTAATTGGTGTCAGATCATTTATACTTTTAATTCTTAATCATTTATGTATACATGTATCATAGTTCTTGACATAATCACTATAACTAACTGTCTGTGGAATCATATGTGGAATAACAAACTATATTTCTTTTGAACACAATGTCTGGAATCAATTAGTGGAGTAACAAACTATGTCTCTTATGAACACAATGTCTTGAATCAATTAGTGGAATACCAAACTATGTCTGGAATCATAAATGCACACAATGCTATGTGTGATTGGTGTTTTTCCATTTACTGAACTTATGGTTATGTACATCCTTCCTCATATTTATATGTTTTTTCCACTTACTGAACTATGTCTGGACACAATCATAAATGCACACAATGTTATGTGTGATTGGTGTTTTTCCATTTACTGAACTTATGATTATGTACATCCTTCCTCATATTTATATGTTTTTTCCACTTACTGAACTATGTCTGGACACAATCATAAATGGAATAACAATGCTATGTGTGATTGGTGTTTTTCCATTTAATGAACTTATGGTTATGTACATCCTTCCTCATATTTATATGTTTTTTCCACTTACTGAACTATGTCTGGACACAATCATAAATGGAATAACAATGCTATGTGTGATTGGTGTTTTTCCATTTAATGAACTTATGGTTATGTACATCCTTCCTCATATTTATATGTTTTTTCCACTTACTGAACTATGTATGAACTATGTATACATGTATCATAGTTCTTGACACAATCACTATAACTAACTGTCTGTGGAATCATAAGTGGAATAACAAACTATGTTTCTTTTGAACACATTGTCTGGAATCAATTAGTGGAGTAACAAACTATGTCTCTTATGAACACAATGTCTGGAATCAATTAGTGGAATACCAAACTATGTCTGGAATCATAAATGCACACAATACTATGTGTGATTGGTGTTTTTACATTTACTGAACTTATGGTTATGTACATCCTTCCTCATATTTATATGTTTTTTCCACTTACTGAACTATGTCTGGAAAATCAACATTCAGGAATGGTTATGAACATTTTTTTTGCTTAAATCATTTAGATGCTTAGGTGTTTATAGCAGTAAGATGACTACATGTACCATATAGACCAGGACATGGTATAAATGACCATAACAGGACAGGGTATAAATCATTTAAGCTTGCATTATTTCCACTTACTGAACTGTCTCTGTTTGCTAGTGCTGAACATTATTTTTTGTGATGGAATCATTTAGATGGTTATGTATTGATAGCAGTAAGATCATTTATGTGCTGGAAATTCAACCCCAAAAATGTGCTATATTCATATTTGCAGGAATTAACATACAGACCAGTTACTCAAATGATAGAGCTGGACATCTTTATGTAGTATACAGTCCAGTTACACATATTTCTGTATTTTCTCATTGAAGAATAACCTTGTAACCCTTCATATGTGCTATATTCATATGTGCAGAAAGTAACATACAGTGAACTCCATTTTTTAACTGGACATACCAATAAACTTACAAATGTAACTGAATCTTTGATCTTGCATTGTTTACATAGCATTGTCCAGCAATTACCTTAATTTTTTAACTGGACATTGTTTACATAGAATTGTCCAGTAAACTATTGACTTTGATTACAATTGACTCAATTTTTTGATTCAGTTATAGTATGACTTCGATTACTGAATTGTTTACGTAGCATTATTCAATGTCAGTTACAGTATTTGTTCGATTACTTATGCATCACTTCCATTACAGTATTTGTTCGATTACATTAGCACATACACATGTCAGTCTTTCTTTGTTGATATAAACTGGCCATTGAAGTCACTTCGATTACTTATGAATAGTTTACATAGCATTGTTTAATTGATTAATTTATTTAAAATTCTCATTATGATCTAGAATGACTAAGAAGAACTTCATATCACAATCTAAACCCGAAGGTGGGCAGTCAAGACCTCGTGCCAGGAACTGGACTATAGAGGAAGATAATTATTTGATAGGAATATTAAAGGAAATGGTCTTTAAAGAAAAGAACAATGGAGGTCATTTCACTACCGAGCAATGGAAAAATATAACCGATGAGTATAAAGTTAGGACTGGACAAAAAGACAGAGGCAAACTACAAATGGAAAATCGTTATAAAATTTTGAAAAAACAATATTCCCTCAATTACAAACTTCAAAATAAATCCGGTTGGGGTTGGGATGAAGGTAAAAATATGGTGATTGCACCTACTGCAAAAGATTGGGAGGCATTGATAAAGGTATTATTTAAATTTCTATCATTATAACATTTGAATATTATATAATTAAACATATGATATATTTATTATGAATTTTTTACCGCAGGAAAATGATGAGTATTTAAGAATTAAGAACAAACCCTTTCCTCAGTTTGATGATATGGATTTTCTATGTGGAGGTAACACATCTAAGGAGCGCTGGTGGTTTGGGACTACCGATAACTTCAATGAGCGTGAAGGAAACACTAGTTCAGACAATGAATTAGATGATACTGAGGGCCGACACAGTAACGAGATAGATTTGAGTGATTCAGAGGAGGTACAAGTAGTGGAAGAAACACAAGTTCCTTTTAATGGTACACAACTACCATCACAGCCAATACCTATTTCTACTCCAAACATAAAGCAACAAGCTCAACCATCAGGTTTAAAGCGTAAGTTTAAAAATATTTCTCGTCGTCGAGTATCAGGTATTGAAGTTGAAAATAATTTGTCAAAGATGATTGAGCTACAAAAGCAGCGAATTAAAATTACAAAAGAGCTAGTAGATTCCAAGAAAGGGGTGCCCACTGAAATGAAAGAGTGCATGGATAAGATAATGAATTTACCAGGTGTAACTAGTGATCTATGTGTGGCAGGAGCAGAAGCTATTAAAAAGAAGGAGAATAGGCATGTTGTTAATATGCTTAACGGTCAAATGCTATTATCATGGCTGAAGAAACAAATGAATTTACAAAATGCAATGACCGGTTATCCATCACCTCTTTACAATATCCAACATCAACCACCTCAAATGCACCGGTTCCAAAATGAGTCATTTAATCAACCAAGCTGGCAAGGCTTTTCTCAAACTTCTCAGGGCCAGTCACAGATGTCACAAGCTCATGATAACAACATGCAGGAAATGGGGTCATTTGTCAGCTTACTAAAGGAGAAATAAAACCTAAATCCGAATTGATGCTTTATGTTCAGGTCTCAAGAGTCAAGACTATTCAAATTTAGTTTAGTAATATTTGATGCTTTATGTTCAGGTCTCAAGAGTCAAGACTATTCAAATTTAGTTTAGTAATATGTTTTCTTGCTTTTAGTTAAAGTTCATGTTCCAAAGAATAGTTTTCTTATTGTCAGACAATCAATTTATGATTTTATAATCTTTAGATTATAGCATATGTTGGATGGTTTTTATGTTAGATAATTTTTGGCAAGGATGTTGTGAACTATAGCCCCTATTCTTTATTAGCTAGTTATCTATTTTTTTTGTTTTTAATTTGGTTGAAGATGAATTCATTTAAAGATTTTGCAAGCAATCTTAGTGTTGATGATATTGAAGCACTTGATGATGAAGATGATCTTATAGAGGCATTGTTTTTGAATGATGACGATGAGGATGAGTACATGTGGAACGAGATGATTAATAGCGTCATTCATCAATCAAATGTGATGAAGCAGATTCCTCGACCATGTCGAACTAGACCATTCTCTGGTCATATGCTTGTGGAAGATATGTTGGCTAAGCAGATTCCTCGACCATGTCGAACTAGACCATTCTCTGGTCATATGCTTGTGGAAGATATGTTGGCTGGACATCCCGAACGTTCATATTCTTACTTTCGAATGAGTTCTGAGACAATTCTTTTGCTTAAAAATGTTCTAATTGAGAAGAATGCTTTAAGGCCAACTAGATATTTAAGCTGCAATGAACAACTTTGTATATTTCTATACGGAATTTCGCATGCTCTCTCAAATCGAGTATTAGCTGAGATATTCTAACATTCAAGAGAGACTATTAGCAGACATTATAATACCGTGCTTAATGCTATTTTATCTTTAAAACAAGATTATATTCAGCTTCCCACCGTTGACGTAGACGTTCATCCTAAGATTCGAGAGAATCCCAATTTCTTCTCATATTTCAAGGTAAAGCTAAATGCGTAAATTTTTTCATATCTTTTTTAATGTGTATGTGTGTACGTTTCTGTAAATTAAATCTTTATACATTTTTATATTTGCAGAAAGCATTAGGAGCAATTGATGGATCTCATATTCCTGTAATTGTGAACATTTTTATATTTGCAGAAAGCATTAGGAGCAATTGATGGATCTCATATTCCTGTAATTGTGAAGAAAAAGAAACACAACAGATATCGTAATCGATCCTGTAATTGTGAAGAAAAAGAAACACAACAGATATCGTAATCGAAAGAATTTCATATCTCAAAATGTATTGGCAGCGTGCTCCTTTGATCATACTTTTCTTT